TAACGAAACTCTTTGCTAAATGAATTAAGCAACATAAAGTAGTTGGGCATTGAAGTCATGGTAGCAGTAGTCATGCCTTGAATGGGGAAAACAGTTGATGCACAATGCACTCCATTAATGTTGCACTGATAAGAAAATTGGAAAATGAGAACTCACCGTGTAAGGGAATGCTAATCATTAATTATGAATATCCAAAGCATTAAAAACAAGGCGTTTGCTAGCTTTGTCCATAATTTTAACTTAACAGATAGTAGAAAGTATCGGCTTATTTCCTTTCAACTCATAGGGATTTCAAGAATGGTGTCAATGGCTCCATCTTTCCCGAATAGAATGCACTAACTTTGCATCGCATTTGTGACACAAACCTTTCTCACGGGACACAGTGGTAAAAATGTAGTCTTATTCCATTATTATGCAGTCGAGGGCTGCTCAGCGCCTTCCACCCTCCCATGGTTGGGTTTCCTTGTCAAGGACATTCAGATCGTATGATTCCGCATTTTCTACTGATCACTGGATCCTCCCGAGTCTTATAACGTTGTGGGGGACCAATCAACACTCTAAGGTATTGAAGCAGCTGCAAAGAGCGGATGGTTAATTTATGAAAAATAGATCAGAAGTAGAATTATGACTGCAGATACTGCCACTGAAGTCTTCGAGTTCGCTGCAAGAGGAGGCGCCGAAAAATAGGTTTTCATCTTGACCATCTATCAGCGGCTTCAAATGCCAACCCTCATGGCATACCAGTCCATAATCAACAATTCCATTGCAAAGATACCCTCAATTCTCACTTAGCGAATTATAAAAGTTATCATAGAGAGCACTAAGCCAGATCCTCAAAGTAAGGCAAAGAAACATCAGGCGGAAGAATTTTTTTAAGAAAAATCTGATCAGACCTCTTGCAAAGCCTACAGTAACACTAACCTCACTATTTATATTCAAATTCCAAATGTCCAAATGACCACTCATAGCAACCGTGGCAAAGAGGGCGGGATGTGAAGGCGACCAATCACAGTGGAGGAGGTAATCGTTACGATCCTCAAATGAAACCAATGGATGACTCTCCAATCTTGACCACACTTTCGCCGTGCAGTCCATGGAGGTGGTGAGATAAATGTTCGGGTCGTTCAAGGGATTATCTGCACTGGGCACTGTCATAGCTGTCACTGGAGCATGATGACGGCCCTCGAATTGCGCGGTGACACCTGGTTCACTGGAAATGTAAAACACAGGAGGGCATGGAGGAGTCACCTCCAAAATTATTCCACTGAATATTTAACTATATGGGATGGAAGGGATGCTAAGAGGAAACAGCATGTCAAGAGATCCGAGTGGGTTTCCATAAAATTTACGGTCATGTAAGGTCCATTTTTTACCAGTGCGAAGCTCAACTATGGGCTTGGCCACCAGCACATGCTATAAAATACGATTGTGAACCCGTTGATTCCACCAGAATTAAGTTTAAAATGCCCAGATACTGTGCTTCAGACCATGCACAGCGCTTTGCTACTAATCCATGAGCTCAGGTGGAACAATCTC